ACATTCAATAACAACCTATTACTGAGCATACAACTTCATCCTGACTCTGTTCAGCCCTTTGTGGGTTTGGGTTGGACTCTTCGGGGGCTAAACTAGAGGGATGCCCACATTTTGCTGATTCTGTAGGTCAAGCACATTGCATGCACCAGGGACTCTTTGCATCCCTCTGTCCCCACAAGGTCCCTGGGGGCCACCCTCCCATCCCCATCTATTTCAGGGACTCCCTAGCCCCCACCCTTGTGCCAGGAGCTCTGTGTCTCCCCCATTTCTCCCCTGCCCCATGCTACGGTCCCCAATTCTGCCCCAAGCCAGGAGCTCTCTGTGCCCTAATTCTCTCCCTTTCCATCTTTCCAGGGCCCTCCATTCTCCCTGCATGCTCGGGGCTTTGGCTGTACTCTCGTTCCAGCATTGTCCCCAGACCAGGTACCCATCTTCCCCGTGTCAGGGGCTCTGTGAGCCTTCCCCTCCTCCCTTCCCCACTATTATTATTTCTCCTCTTTCTGCCCGGGACATAAATCATCCAGTGTCAGCATGTCACATTCTACTGGGGGAAGGAGCAGAGATGAGATGGCAATGTTTTCCTACTGGAAAGTGTTAATTGGTGCCATAAACTGGTTCTTTCCTTTAGACAGTTTCAGAGGGATGCTTTGCTCCAAGCTGTTACTCTGCTAACTGTTCCTAACTGTCAGGGTGGGTAAACACTGGAATAAACTGCCTAGGGAGGTTGTAGAATCTCCATCTCTGCAGATATTTAAGGGTAGGTTAGACCATCCCTGATAGACATTTATCTAGACAGTATTTGGTCCTGCCATGAGGGCAGGGGACTGGACTCGATGACCTCTCCAGGTCCCTTCCAGTCCTAGAGTCTATGAATCTATGAATAAACAGAGCAGGTACTCCATGTGTCCCCCACTTTTTCCCCCTTTGGGTTTTCTGATTTCCCCAATATCAACAGAGTTCTGCCCAGTGATGCCTTCAATACTCCCTGAAATTTTGGAATTGATGGGCTGCGGTGTTCCAAATTATTGTGTCACAGACCAAGAGAAATGCCATCACGTTGAGTGCACTGTAGTTGTCTCAGTCCCAGGATATTAGAAAGACAAGGTGGGTGAGGGAATAGCTATTATTAGACCAACTTCTGTTGGTGAGAGAGATGAGATTTCGAGCTCCATAGAGCTCTTCCTCAGGTCTGGGAGACGTACTCCCAGTACCACAGCTCAATGCAATGCTTAAACTCCCATGTAGATTTCCACCCCAACTTCAACAACCACCACCCACCCACCCAGCCATTAAACTCTCTGGGAAACACTCCCACACTAGCATCAACTTCCTGGACACCACCATCAGCTTCAACAATGGAACCCTACAGACAACCCTAGACAAGAGACCCACAGATCACCACACCTAACGTCATAAACCCAGTAACCACCCCAAACAACCAAAAAAATCTGTAATCTACAGCCCGGCACTCATATAGCACAGAATATGCTCCTAGGAGAAAGTCTGGGATACACACCTTAACGCACTCAAAACCGCCTGCACGAAACAAGGATATTCTACTAGAGAAGTAGATTGCTTCATGGAATTGACTGTCCAAATACCCTGAGAGAACATGCTAGAATACAGAAATAAAACCTCCTCTGACTGCACACCAGTTGCTACCTACCACACTACACTGGAACCTATACGGGGCATCATCAAACAACTATGACCCATACTCGATAGGGACCACATCCTGAAAGAAGTCTTCCCTGAACCCCCACTTCTGACCTTCAAACAACCCGCCAGCCTCTCCAAGGGAATCATCAGAAGCAAGCTCCCCACAGACCAGGACACACCAACTCAAAGCAGCACCAGATCCTGCCAGAACAACAGATGCAAAATCTGCTACATATCTCCACTGCTACAATGATCAACACCCCCCACAACTCACCTTTCAAAATCCACGGATCCTACACAAGCCTATCACAACGTGTGGGGTACCTCATCCAGTGCACTAAATGCCCCAATAACAATGATGTGGGTGAAATCAGACAATCACGATGCTCTTGAATGAACTCGCACAGGAAAATGATACAAGACAAAACCACCCTTTCTCCTGTGGGGAATACGTCTCACAGGTCAGATACAGAGTGGTTCTCATCACTCAATCAGTTTCACACATATAGAATGGGAAGAGACTGCCTAGGAAGGAGTACGGCAGAAAGGGATCTAGGGGTTATAGTAGACCTCAAGCTAAATATGAGTCAACGGTGTGATGCTGTTGCAAAAAAAGCAAACATGATTCTGGGATGCATTAAGAGATGTGTTGTGAGCAAGACATGAAAAGTCATTCTTCCGCTCTACTCTACGCTGGCTTAGGCCTCAACTGGAGTATTGTGTCCAGTTCTGGGCAACGCATTTCAAGAAAGATGTGGAGAAATTGGAGAGGGTCCAGAGAAGAGCAACAAGAATGATTAAAGGTCTTGAGAACATGACCTATGAAGGAAGGCTGAAAGAATTGGGTTTGTTTAGTTTGGAAAAGAGAAGACTGAGAGGGAACATGATAGCAGTTTTCTGGTATCTAAAAGAGTGTCATAAGGAGGAGGGAGAAAATTTGTTCACCTTAGCCTCTAAGGATAGAACAGGAAGCAATGGGCTTAAACTGCAGCAAGGGAGCTTTAGGTTGGACATTAGGAAAAATTCCTAACTGTCAGGGTGGTAAAACACTGGAATAAATTGCCTAGGGAGGATGTGGAATCTCCATCTCTGGAGATATTTAAGAGTAGGTTAGATAAATGTCTATCAGGGAT